CCATGTTCGAAAATTCGAAGTTATGTTCGAAAAAATTTTAAAACTGCTAAAACTATCTATAAATCATAAGGAATCATAAAAATATAATTTTAGTTTTATTAGAGGCGAACTTCTTGCGTTTTTACAATTTCGAAATTAAAAATCTTTACAATAATTTTTAAATTTTTAAAAATTTCATGAATTTTTAAATAATTTTAATATAGTTTCGAAGTATAAACTTTTTAAACTATGTTCGAAAATTCGAAAATAAGATCGAAAATTCGAAGTTATGTTCGAAAAAAATTTAAAACCGCAAACATTATCTATAAATCATAAGGAATCATAAAAATATAATTTTAGTTTTATTGGAGGCCAATTTCTTGCGTTTTTCCAATTTCGAACTTAAAATTTTTGAAAATTTTGAAAATAAATTTAAAATTTTAAAAAATTTCATGAATTTTTAAATAATTTCAATATAGTTCCGAAGTATAAACTTTTTAAGCTATGTTCAAAAATTCGAACATAAGTTTGAAAATTCGAAGTTATGTTCGAAAAAGTTTTAAAAATGCTAAAATTATCTATAAATTATAAGGAATCATAAAAGTATAATTTTAGTTTTATTTGTGGCTAATTTCTTGAGTTATAACAATTTCGAAATTAAAAATTTTTTAAATAAATTTAAAATTTTTAAAAATTTCATGAATTTTTAAATAATTTCAATATAGTTTCGAAGTATAAACTTTTTAAGCTATGTTCGAAAATTCGAAGATAAGTTCGAAAGTTCGAAGTTATCTTCGAAAAATTTTAAAAACCGCTAATATTATCTATAAATCATAAGGAATCATAAAAATATAATTTTAGTTTTATTTGAGGCTAATTTCTTGAGTTTTAACAATTTCGAAATTAAAAATTTTGAAAATAATTTTAAAATTTTCAAAAATTTTATGAATTTTTAAATAATTTCAATATAGTTTCGAAGTATAAACTTTTTAAGCTATGTTCGAAAATTCGAAGATAAGTTCGAAAATTCGAAGTTATGTTCGAAAAAATTTTAAAACCGCTAAAATTATCTATAATTTATAAGGAATCATAAAAGTATAATTTTAGTTTTATTTGAGGCTAATTTCTTGCGTTTTTCCAATTTCGAACTTAAAATTTTTGAAAATAATTTTAAAATTTTTAAAAATTTCATGAATTTTTAAATAACTTCAATATAGTTTCGATATATAAACTTTTTAAGCTATGTTTGAAAAAATTTTAAAACTGCTAAAATTATCTATAAATCATAAGGAATCATAAAAATATCATTTTAGTTTTATTTGAGGCTAATTTCTTGAGTTTAACAATTTCGAAATTAATTCGAAGTTATGTTCGAAAAAATTTTAAAACCGCTAAAATTATCTATAAATCATAAGGAAGCATAAAAAGATGTTTTTAGTTTTATTTGGGGCTAATTTCTTTAGTTTTAACAATTTCGAAATTAAAAATTTTAAAAATAAATTTAAAATTTTCACAAATTTTAAAGTATTTTTAAGGCAGTTTTAGATTATGTTTAAGTTTTGAAAGAAAATTCAAATTTTAATTCGAAAAAATCTTTTTAAAATAATTTTTTTTAACAAACAATTAACTCTTATTTTAACAAAAACTTACCGATTTTTTATACACATTTTCTATTTTCAGTTTTTTTAAAACTTTAAATCCAGAATCTTTAAATTTGTTCTTTCTTTTTCAGTTATATTTTTAAGTTAAAATATTTGCAAAGTTTTTTTTTAATACGTTTAAATGTTTCTTAGAACTGTTTAATAAAATAAAACTTATTAATTTAACGGAAATACATAAAACAAGTATTTTTCTTTAATTTTTCAACAACATTTTTTTAAGGGTGCTAACAATAAAACAATTAATTTTACGACCTTAATTACAATTACCAAAAAAGTAAGGTTAGAAAAATAGACACACAGGAAATTATTGTGTTTAACCAAAGGTGTTAAAAAAAATTAAATGACATTATGAAAATTATTACAAAACATATGGCGCTTTTAAAACGAAAAAAGGACAAAAAAAGAAAAGTTAAGACAAGTTCAAAAAGGACATTAATAAAACTATTAAAGCAATATGTTTGAATATTATTAAAGGATTTGAATTTTATTGAACTATCTATCACCCAGTGGCATCTTTAAGAAGTAGAACATCTTGTAATAGTTTTAATAAAGTTACAACAGCTGCTTTATAATTCACCTGCCCGCAGCATACGTTGCTGTTTTCTTCTTTTACTCTCTTTTGTACAGAAAAAAAAACTATTAAAATAGTATTTTTGAATATAACAGGTGGATTACAATTAGAAATTTCCTTTTAACAAAATTTCGTTTTCCTGTTGCACAAACCTGCTGGTTTACAATTTTCCTGTAAAATTTTCAAAACTCAACTAACAAGTGTTTAATATTTTGGCCGTTATTTTCAGTTAACTTAAACTCTAGTGCTGCTGCTGCTGCTGACAGTCAGTCTTAATTAGGCTGCTACTTTTTTTATATAAAAACGGAAATCGTTAAACGTTTACAGGGGTCAAACTAACAATTGCAATATGCTAGATTATCTAAACAATAAATAAGTTTGTGTTATGTAGTAAATTTTGTAGTAAAAATGAAATATTTATCATTATTTTTCACACAATTATAAAAAAAATTTCTACAAATTTACAACAATAAAACATTTACATGTTAACACTAGAAACTAGAAATCAGATATTTTTTTGTTTAAACACAACAAGGATATATTAAGGATCTTTAGTTGTGATTATTTGTTTAGTTTTCGTTCTCTCTCTTTACTGACCACATGCATAGATATAATGGTGTTATCGTAACTCGTAACATGTGTTTGATGTTTAGGCGTTATACAGTTGATGAAGAGTATGTTTAGGTTTTATAAGATGTCATTAAAGACATACATACATGTGTTCTTACAAACCTTATATAGTTCTTTTTTTTACAAATATGAGAACCATTTTTTTATCTCCAAACTCTAGAATATTGAAAGAAATATTAAAAAGAAAATCTTTTGTTAGGCAAATGAGTTTCCACTTATAAAAATCTATGAATTTTTTTCATAGTTTAGGTTTTATTTTTATAACATAAACACAACAATTAGCTTGGGAAAGAAATGTTTAAATTACTTTGCTTATCCTTTTTTCCTTAATCTACTTTTTTTGTTAATAGGAATACACTATTTTGTTTAGAGTTTGTTAAACACTGTCATAAATTTAAAAATTTTCATTCATGGTGGTTAATGTCTTTTTTTTGGGGGGATTTTTAAACAATATTCTTCTTTGAGTTTGGAATATAACAATTTTAAAATAGGCTGCTCTAGTGTGGGTTATACGCTTTTTTGTTTAGTAACTTCTTTGACGACAGGTTTATATTTTATTTATTGGTTTTGATGACATTTTTAGCTTGCGATTTCTAATAGATAGATAGATAGATAGATAGATAGATAGATAGATAGATAGATAGATAGATAGATAGATAGATAGATAGATAGATAGATAGATAGATAGATAGATAGATAGATAGATAGATAGATAGATAGATAGATAGATAGATAGATAGATAGATAGATAGATAGATAGATAGATAGATAGATGGATAGATAGATAGATAGACAGATAGATAGATAGATAGATAGATAGATAGATAGATAGATAGATAGATAGATAGATAGATAGATAGATAGATAGATAGATAGATAGATAGATAGATAGATAGTTATTTAAGTTGTCTGAAAATTACATCTTTGTAATTTTTACAAACTACAAAACAGTTTTGGATAAAAAAATGTAGTTAGTTAGTTAGTTAGTTAGCTAGCTAGCTAGTTAGTTAGTTAGTTAGTTGGTTAGTTAGTTAGTTAGTTAGTTAGTTAGTTAGTTAGTTAGTTAGTTGGTTAGTTAGTTAGTTAGTTAGTTAGTTAGTTAGTTAGTTAGTTAGTTAGTTAGTTAGTTAGTTAGTTAGTTAGTTAGTTAGTTAGTTAGTTAGTTAGTTAGTTAGTTAGTTAGTTAGTTAGTTAGTTAGTTAGTTAGTTAGTTAGTTAGTTAGTTAGTTAGTTAGTTAGTTAGTTAGTTAGTTAGTTAGTTAGTTAGTTAGTTAGTTAGTTAGTTAGTTAGTTACATAGTTAGTTTCACAGGAGAACGTATGTTACACAAAATTCGAAGAAAACCCCCAAGGCCTAGATAGATAGATAGATAGATAGATAGATAGATAGTTATTTAAGTTGTCTGAAAATTACATCTTTGTAATTTTTACAAACTACAAACCAGTTTTGGATAAAAAAATATAGTTAGTTAGTTAGTTAGCTAGCTAGCTAGTTAGTTAGTTAGTTGGTTAGTTAGTTAGTTAGTTAGTTAGTTAGTTAGTTAGTTAGTTAGTTAGTTAGTTAGTTAGTTAGTTAGTTAGTTAGTTAGTTAGTTAGTTAGTTAGTTAGTTAGTTAGTTAGTTAGTTAGTTAGTTAGTTAGTTAGTTAGTTAGTTAGTTAGTTAGTTACTTAGTTGGTTAGTTAGTTAGTTAGTTACTTAGTTAGTTAGTTAGATAGTTAGTTAATTAGTTAGTTAGTTAGTTAGTTAGTTAGTTAGTTAGTTAGTTAGTTAGTTAGTTAGTTAGTTAGTTAGTTAGTTAGTTAGTTAGTTAGTTAGTTAGTTAGTTAGTTAGTTAGTTAGTTAGTTAGTTAGTTAGTTAGTTACATAGTTAGTTTCAGGAGAACGTATGTTACACAAAATTCAAAGAAAACCCCAAGACCTTAATCAAGAGCACTTTAGCACTGTCTCTATTGGAATCCAACTCATGACCTCGTCAAGGCCTCTATCAGGGCAGTGTCTATGGTGGAAATCGAAACCGCTCTAACAGACTAAAACACAAACCACTGCAGGCATTTATTGCAGGCAAATGTCCTTTAAGTTAATTTCTTATCGTTTTAAGTAATTTATTTGATTATAATTTACTAATTTATTTCCCACATTTTGTTTCTTCTCTTTCTAGTTATTTATAATATTTTATCTTACAATTGGTTCTATTTCTTAAAGAGAATCTAAAATCATCATATATTAACGGCTGTTTTAGGCCGTTTCATTATGGATTTCTATAAAAGGTAAGTTGTATTTCTTTTAAAACTACTTCACTATATAAATAATTTCTATTTTTTCCAATAATCCCCTGTTTCTATTACATCCTTACCAAAAAAAAAACGTATCCTTCTTACATTTGTCTAATATTCAGCTTTTATTTTGTAGTTTTAATGATGATTATCTATATTTGTCTTATAATTACCTTTTGTTTTGTTCTGCTTGGACAATTTTTCTTTACTTTTTTTTATGTGGAGTTGCAGGCCTTGTGGTAAGCAGTAGTCAACAGATAATCTATAGTTTTTTTTTTACCAAACTATTATTGTGGTTGACAAAATTTTTAAACTAGTATTTGTTTGCTCTAGCAACTGACTTCCTTTTTTGCTAAAGGTAGTTTTAAAACGGAAGAAGCAACATTATTTTTTTTTTAGGAAAAAGTATCCCCTAAAGTTGAAAATTATTTCTCACACATACCATACACTTTGACAATTACTTTAATTTTGCAAAAAACACAAAAAATATAACGATTTTTCAAATATGTTATAAGGTAATTTTCCATATCCTAGTTTATAAACTAAAAATTCCTTTATGCATTTCCCTGTTTAGTTATTTTATAACCAGTAATTATTGTTTTAGGTTTTTTTCCTACCAGTACTTTAACTTTAAAAGGACTACAATCATTTTAAATACCTTTACACATATTTTTTAAAAGTAAAGTGTTAGACAATGTTTGTTTGTGCCAGTCACCCCCTCCTCCCTATTGTTTTAGTTCATAACAAAGTGTCATTTATTACTACTCACTCGGCGTTTGATTATTTCATCATATTTTTTCGTTGTTAACCCTGTCACATATGACATTATTTAAAATTACTTGCTTTCTGTGGTTTGTAAAGCACTTATCCTTACTGACCCATCTATTTTTTTTTTTTTTTTTTGGTGACTACTGTCAGTTGTTTGCTCAATTTTGCCAATGACATTTAAAATGCCTGTTCATATTGCATTTATTGCATTATCATTGTAATTATTGTTATCAAATTAATTGAAGGTAATTCAAGTTTATTTAAAAAAAAAACGAACACCCTCTTTTTCTGCCCTTTGTATTTTTGAAAAAGTAGAATAGAACACACGTTTCTATTTTGAGGTTAAATAGATTATTAATGTTAGTTTTTTTAAGGTTAGAAAATTGCTTAAACTATTAACTTTTATATAATTTTAAAGTTTATTTATAAAAACCCACAAAGTTTCTATTGAAAAAAAAGAGACATAATTGCAAACACACGTTCCTGTTTTTTTTGAGGTTAAATTATTTAGGTTAGTTTTTCGTTTGAGGTTATGAATTTAATAGGAATTTCAAATAATTGTTTTTAATAAAAGAAAAAACAATTTTCAAAGTTTTTACATGAAATCCTGCAGGATATTAATTACTTTTACAAAATTTCTTCAAAAAAGTTCTCTTAACTATCATGATCCTGCTAAAATTAAAATTCACTGTATAATAATTCTAGGAAATAAAATTTCAAATTTGTACAATCATTTGGAGTCTAAACAAAAGACCATTATATAGGTTTTTGTTTTCTTGCAGAAGGACTTAGTATATATAAACACCCATAGAGTTAACAAGTACAATATCAAACACACAAGGAAGAGACCACCAAATCTTAAACTAGTACCTTAACTAATCTTTTGTTTTAAACATTTTTATTTATTTCACTTTTTCTCACACTTTGCAAAATATTATTATTTATTTGAAATTTTAGGTAAAAAGTCAATATGAATTGTTAATATTTTTTTTTTAGTTTAAATTCCTTTATTATCTAACAAAATTTTAAGATTTGGTTTTCTTTTTCTATTTAAAATCCTTAGTAATGTTTTGCTTTTAGTTTTCCTTTTTTCTTTCTTCTTCTATTGTTAATTATTTCCTGTCATCCTGTCTGTATGCAATTACAATTGAATCTTTTTTTCTTATTGTTTATACATTTTACATCATTGTTGTCTAACAATATACTTTATTTTCTTTACATTGCTATCAGTTTATGTGGGAAGATGACTTGCCAATAATTGCTATTGGTAAAGAGATTTTTTGTTTATATTCCTGCTTTAAATTCTTAAAATGTTATTTCATTGTTTTAGCTGGAAATTGTCAAATGTTGGCGTTAATTAAAGAAGATTGATGTTATTCTTTGGTTTAAATGAAATCTAATATATATAAACTGTTTTAAAAGGATATTTTTAATAAATTTTTGACCTTCATACTAACTTTAAGAGATTTGCCTGTAATAGCTACAGATCTTATCGTTATAATATAAAACTTGCTCAGTACGGATGACTGCTAATAACAAAACAGTTTAGAACTCTCTCGGCTAAAGGTTTTGATCTTTATTCTTTCGCTTAATTTATAGTTTTACAAAAAAGTAATATCCTTGGCTATCGTATTACCAAATATTACAAATACTTTTTTTTCATAATTCTCAGAATATCTATTACAAATTATATTTTACACCTGTTAACATTAATTACACCTACATAGTCTATATTATAAAACTCAGCTGCTTTCTTTTTTCTAAAATTTTATTAAAAATTCATAATTTTTTTTAGGGTTTTTAACTACAAGTTATACAAATTAAAAAAAACAGAATCCTTTTTCCTAGGAAATCATTGAGAAAAAGAAAACACTTTCACTTTTATCTATTTTATTTGAGAACCATAATTTACGATTTCTTTTCCTTAAAAAATACAAAACATCACAAAACAATTGATAACGCCGCCTTAAGAAAAGGCATCCTAACAATTCATTGATAACAAAATAGTGTCCTCTATAAAACCTTGATTTATGTACATTTCTCAATATTGAAACTTCTTTTTTTTTGGTTAAATTCTATAACATTTTAAGGATCTGTTTTTTTTTTTTTGTAACAATCCCATTTTTTTATGTGAAAATAATATTTTTTGTTAACAAAATCATTGTGTATTAAACTAAAACAAAAAAGATTTTCTTTTAGGGGTTGCAATTTCTTAAAAACGTCTAGATTTCTAATTCTCAACAATTCGTACTTTTCTTGATAGTTTATGTAGTTTTGATTTTTCCTTTCTAATTTAGTACGTGATTATACAATTTTGAGTTTTTTCTTAGTTTGCTCTTTATGATTAACCTTTAAGTTTTTTTTTTTCTTAAACACAGAAATTTATTTGACAAAAACAACAATAACACCCCTTTCTTTATAGAAATCCTTTATTAAGCATGCAGCCGGCCCTTTTTCAACGGCTTTTTAATAAATCTCAAATGTTAAATAAATGTACAAAAGAAACCCTTTAAGTGTAAGCGCTGAAGTTAAGGGTTAAAAAGGGAATCCTCAGCATCTTGTTGGTTTTCTTCTTTTTCTCTCCCCCTTTGTACACACTATTTAACCTATTCATTAAAAACTATTGCAAATTTTTTAACGATTTTCCCAAATCTTTAAAAAATTGCAAATATATACTTAAAGAAATTCGTTATGCTGAGAAGAAAAAAAAAGAAAAGGATTTGCATTATGGAAAAACTTCTCAAGTATTGTTTATATGTAAATAAAGAAATGCAAAATTTTACTGCAATTTAATACAATTACTTAATTTGCTTAAGTAGTAAGCAAGCAAAATATATGGGAAAACCCTCTCAGGGTTATTAAATTGATTTTCATATGCTACATTTCCGGGATATGGAAATAATTGTAGAACAAAATTTAACAATAAAGCCTTTATCTTTACAACACCATCAATTCTTTATAAATACAATGTAAATGTCTTCCTCTGTCTGTCGGATCTTGCCCCTATATAAAAATGAATGTATCAATTTTCCAAATATTGCAATTATATTTTAAAAATTTTTGTTAACAGTTTAATATTTCATATTTTTTTCCTTGTCTTTTCTTTTCTTTCTTTCCTAACAGCCGCAATAGTAACAGTACCAGCAGCCAACATAGTAACAGCAATAGCAGTTTTAAATCCCATGCCTCCTCAAGTAATAACGGTGCTTCCTACAATCTAGAATATTGTACCTCATCATCATCACTGTCACCTTTTGGTACAAGAACAAATCTTTCATCTATTGCCTCCTGTCCATCTTCATCTGCTAAAACAATTGTTAATGTGGGTTTAGAGGAAGTCATACTATCCATTTCAAATAGCAGCAGTGCCTCACACATCTCAGCCTCATCATCGTGTTCCTCATCGTTAACAATTGGTAAATTATCATCAAATAATATGTGTTCTTCTAGTCGTCATAGTACAACAGCAACATCGTCAGCAGCAGCAGCAGCAGCGGCCTCATCATCAGCAACAGTAACAGCCATAGTAGCAACATCAGCCGGCACTAAACGTAAACGTTGCATATCTACTAGTTTAGATGATAGGGTAAGTAAATTGTATCCTTATATTTTTTTCTTTATAGATAAATCTTATGATGAGAAAAATGTTTTTCAAATTTATACTTCATTAACTTTTGAGTAGAGTAGAGCAAAGAAAGTGGTAGTAAAGATAGAAAAAAGGAAAAATTGCATCATGTCCTGTATTGAGAAAGATTTAAACTGGTTGCTTGTTTTGTAGAAAAGTTTTTTGTAACGGAAATCTAATGATTTCTTCTTAAAGCAGGCAAAAATTTTCAGGTATGTGCTAGCCACTTTTGAAAGTTCTAGAAAGATTTTGTTAACATTTCTTAAAGAGTTTTAAATAGGTTGAATCAGAGGGGTGAACTAGAACAGAACTAGAACTAAACTAGAACTAAACTAGAACTAAATTAGAACTGAACTAGAACTGAACTAGAACTGAAATAGAACTGAACTAGAACTGAACTAGAACTGAACTAGAACTGAACTAGAACTGAACTAGAACTGAACTAGAACTGAACTAGAACTGAACTAGAACTGAACTAGAACTGAACTAGAACTGAACTAGAACTGAACTAGAACTGACTAGAACTGAACTAGAACTGAACTAGAACTGAACTAGAACTGAACTAGAACTGAACTAGAACTGAACTAGAACTGAACTAGAACTGAACTAGAACTGAACTAGAACTGAACTAGAACTGAACTAGAACTGAACTAGAACTGAACTAGAACTGAACTAGAACTGAACTAGAACTGAACTAGAACTGAACTAGAACTGAACTAGAACTGAACTAGAACTGAACTAGAACTGAACTAGAACTGAACTAGAACTGAACTAGAACTGAACTAGAACTGAACTAGAACTGAACTAGAACTGAACTAGAACTGAACTAGAACTGAACTAGAACTGAACTAGAACTGAACTAGAACTGAACTAGAACTGAACTAGAACTGAACTAGAACTGAACTAGAACTGAACTAGAACTGAACTAGAACTGAACTAGAACTGAACTAGAACTGAACTGAACTGAACTAGAACTCAACTAGAACTGAACTAGAACTGAACTAGAACTGAACTAGAACTGAACTAGAACTGAACTAGAACTGAACTAGAACTGAACTAGAACTGAACTAGAACTGAACTAGAACTGAACTAGAACTGAACTAGAACTGAACTAGAACTGAACTAGAACTGAACTAGAACTGAACTAGAACTGAACTAGAACTGAACTAGAACTGAACTAGAACTGAACTAGAACTGAACTAGAACTGAACTAGAACTGAACTAGAACTGAACTAGAACTGAACTAGAACTGAACTAGAACTGAACTAGAACTGAACTAGAACTGAACTAGAACTAGAACTAGAACTGAACTAGAACTGAACTAGAACTGAACTAGAACTGAACTAGAACTGAACTAGAACTGAACTAGAACTGAACTAGAACTGAACTAGAACTGAACTAGAACTGAACTAGAACTGAACTAGAACTGAACTAGAACTGAACTAGAACTGAACTAGAACTAGAACTGAACTAGAACTGAACTAGAACTGAACTAGAACTGAACTAGAACTGAACTAGAACTGAACTAGAACTGAACTAGAACTGAACTGAACTAGAACTGAACTAGAACTGAACTAGAACTGAACTAGAACTGAACTAGAACTGAACTAGAACTGAACTAGAACCGAACTAGAACCGAACTAGAACTGAACTAGAACTGAACTAGAACTGTACTAAAACTGAACTAGAACTCAACTAGAACTGAACTAGAACTCAACTAGAATTAACCTAGAAGTGAAGAAGAACTAAACTATAAATGCACTAAAATTGAACGAGAATTGAACTAGAATGAATAGTTAATCTCGAATAAATCAAAATATGTAATTTAAAAAATCTTTAACAGATTATGGCAGATGTCTATTTGCTGTAGTTACTGAGGAAAACAAACATTTCCTACAATTCCTAACATTTGATCTCGCTTCTTATCCCGTATGACTGAAGAAAGTTTTCAAATTTACATAATTCAACTAAGTCTGTACAACCCGGTAATTTTTCTATAATTGCTCAATACTTGTTCCTTAATGAATATGCAAAAAAAAAAAACTCTAAATTAGCATAAATTCATTATTATCCCGTATGGTAACATCCTAGACATATGGCTTTTCATTACGAAAAAAAAGCGTTACTTTTTCTTATTACTAGCAAGTTTGTCTTCAAAAAAAAACAAAGAACAAACTAAAACAAATACACATCTTGCTTACCATCCTTGCAACTATTTTTCCCTTAACCCTGAGGTTACCTTTACAAACATGCAATTTCTCAACACAAAGAAGAATACACGAAGAAAGAAAAAAAAAAACTACAACACAAATGTCGTTATGTTTTGAATATATAATTAGATAATGTCTTTAACAAAAAACTTGTTATTTGCTTCTTCAAAGCTGCTGCCAATAGTTAAGGGTCCCAAAAAAGGACATTTGTATTTTGGGAATCTATTACTAATAGTAAAATATATAAAATGTCTTCCGTTTTCTGTTTTTTTCTATTATATAAATTGAACACAAAACCCCAGATCATAACACGCAAGATAACACCATATTATTAAAATAATCGTCTACCGGTGGCTCTGCTAGCTTCTTCATTATTATTATTATTTTTTTTTTTTCTCAAACATTTGCCGATCATATCATTTTTTTTGTCTTAGACAATATGTCAACCACCTTCCTTTTATAAGTTACATAGTTTTTCTTTAATATTACTACATTTGTATATTTTATTGTTAACTTGTTATTAAAATTAAGAACTTTTAACTTCCTTATATGTCTGTCTGTCTGTGTGTCCATCTTCATTTAACCATTTGTCTTTTATACTACTCTGCAGTAAGGATAAATGCTTGCTCTTTACTTCGTTTACATATTGTTATTATCTATCTACATATCTAACTAGTGTGGCACGTTCGTGCATAAATTTAAAATTTACATAAAAAATAAAATTTGTGTAAATATTAACACACAAAAAAATAGTTTAGTATTTTATTGTTATACATAAAAATAACCTAATTGTTTTTGTTTTTTCCTATAAATGTTACTGGTTTTTTCCCTTTTTTAAAATACCGAAAATTCCCTGTTTATTATCCTGGCGATAAAGTTTTGTATTTATATTTACTTACTTTGCTGTTTTTTTATAACGTCTGCTGTTTAGTTTCTTGGTAAATATTTCTTGTCATTTTCTTTTAACGTCTGCTTAAGAAAAACGTCAAAATTAACAACCCTCTCTTTTACTCTCTTAAAAGTACAAATAATATTTGTCCTCCGTCAAGGTGTTCACGCATGCGTAACTATTTTTTTACTTGGCTCAATTTTTTTTACTGCTTTATAATAGTAGAAGTACTAGCTACAATATGCATGTATGTATGTATGTATGTGTGTTGTTGTTATTATGTCCTTTTTTTAAGGAAATTGCATTACTTGTTTAATGTTGTGTTGTGTTTGCATACCTTTAGTTTGTATTAGTTTTTTCTTACGCTGTTGTTGTAATATTTCTTATGTTATCAACCAAATGTGTTGATTTGCACCCCATTGCTTTCAAGTATTGAGTCCTTTGTTGTTAAATTCTATATTTGTGTGTTGGCATGTTTGTGTGAGTGTAAGGGTATGCGAAATGTTTGTATTTTAGTTTAATGTTAAAATTCCTTTACATATTACTGTTTTATGTTTGTTTGGGTTTTTGGATTTTTTATTTCAGAAAAATTTAACGTAATTTTTTGAAAATTTATTACTTTGAGTCCCAAATACGTTGGCAATTATCTAGATAAAGTACCAAAAATTTATTGTGCAACAGATTTTTTTACGATTTTTTCCTTTCTGATACAATTTTTTTTTCTTTTGGTTAGTTAAACATGAAATTTAATATAAAATTTTATGTATTTTTTAGAAAGATTTTCTATTTTTTTATGGGAAAAATTTGTGTGATTTTAAAACCGAAATGCATTTTTTGTTCATTTCTTATAACAAATTATTTTTACACTTTACTTTTTAAGATTTATTGGAATTTAAGACTAAATATTTTCTTTGACTTTAAAAAACATAACTGTTAATTTAAAGAACTGAACTGAACTGAACTAGAACTGAACTAGAACTGAACTAGAACTGAACTAGAACTGAACTAGAACTGAACTAGAACTGAACTAGAACTGAACTAGAACTGAACTAGAACTGAACTAGAACTGAACTAGAACTGAACTATGTAGAACTGAACTATGTAGAACTGAACTATGTAGAACTGAACTATGTAGAACTGAACTATGTAGAACTGAACTATGTAGAACTGAACTATGTAGAACTGAACTATGTAGAACTGAACTATGTAGAACTGAACTAGAACTGAACTAGAACTGAACTAGAACTGAACTAGAACTGAACTAGAACTGAACTAGAACTGAACTAGAACTGAACTAGAACTGAACTAGAACTCAACTAGAACTGAACTAGAACTGAACTAGAACTGAACTAGAACTGAACTAGAACTGAACTAGAACTGAACTATAACTGAACTAGAACTGAACTAGAACTGAACTAAAACTGAACTAAAACTGAAATAGAACTGAACTAGAACTGAACTAGAACTGAACTAGAACTGAACTAGAACTGAACTAGAACTGAATTAGAACTGAACTAGAACTGAAGTAGAACTGAACTAGAATTAAACTAGAACTAAACTAGAACTGAACTAGAACTGAACTAGAACTGAACTAGAACTAAACTAGAACTGAACTAGAACTGAACTAGAACTGAACTAGAACTGAACTAGAACTGAACTAGAACTGAACTAGAACTGAACTAGAACTGAACTAGAACTGAACTAGAACTGAACTAGAACTGAACTAGAACTGAACTAGAACTGAACTAGAACTGAACTAGAACTGAACTAGAACTGAACTAGAACTGAACTAGAACTGAACTAGAACTGAACTAGAACTGAACTAGAACTGAACTAGAACTGAACTAGAACTGAACTAGAAC